AAAAAAAAATCAGAGGAAATGAATAAAAATAGAAAAGAAAATCACGAACAACCGAAGCAAAAAAAAAATTTAATGTTTTTAAATGAGCTTTCATGGAAAAAAATGAAGAATTTTGAATGAATTTTTTTTTCATTCATTGTACAAAATGTAATTCAACTTTTTTCTCTCACACACACGCACATTCTCAACATGGTTTATATGTGGCAATCGAAATATAAAACGATTGTTGTTGTGTAGTTATCGTTGTCATTTCGAAAACCGAATTCTGAGAAATGAAATAATGATATAAATCTTGGTTTTTATAATCGAAAAAATTACATTCAAATATTTCAATTGTCTAACCACAAAATTCGAATGAATAAAGTCAACGAATTTTTTTTTTTTTTGGTTTACAAAAACCAATGCCGAATGAACATCTGATATATTCGATTCTGTTTTTGAATTGAATGATAATCAAAAGAATCCATGGAACTAGAAACTTGTGTAATTGTGTGTGTGAAAGTGTGTGCGTGCCAAAAATCGTACAGGAACCAATAGTAGAATGCACAAATGTGAAAAGTTTCATTAAGATAAATTGAGTTTTTTTTTTTTTTTTTTAGGTTCCAAAGGTTTTTTTTCATCAAAATGTGTTTGATGAAAATCACTTATTTTCACCTATGACAAAATTACCGTTGTTTTTTTTGTCATCATTATGTGTTAGATTGATTGAAGAATAGAACTTTAGAATAGTTTCAATTTATTCAAAATGAATGAAAATCAATTTTCAGTCTCAACATGTTTCTGTATGTGATAATTATGGGGCGTATATTTGATGGACGACAAGATTCATCATATATGTTTATGTTGTTTATATTGTTAACATTCGCATACACACACACACACACACATTGAATAAAAACGATTGTTGTTGGTTATTCTCATTCTATAAAATAGAAAATTACTATTCTAATCATTACATTCGACATAGGATACAATCTTTTTTTCTTCTTCCATAAATTCACTAGTGTAGTAATCATCAAGATGATGATAGTGATGATGATCAAAATCGCTTTCTACAACTTTCAAGAATTTCCGTTTATTATTATTATTTTGTTGTTGTTGTTGTTGATGATCATCTTAAAGTATCGTAGTAAAATTTATTCAATTCGCATTCCATATCGGTAAATGCTTCTGTTGAATTAAATAAATAAAATTGAAATTCTGTTGTTCATCAGTAATACGGGGAAAAAAATTTCCATTTGCACAAAGAAATCAAGCAAAAATTTCCCATTTTTAGCCACAAATCGATCCAAAGAATCTAGAATTTTGAATGATGATGATGATGATGATGATAATAGCTACTAGCTGAATTACCATATAGAAAACATGATGTGTGATTAGTTTTTTTCAGGTTAATCATCAACAAAACTAAACTTGAACCATCCGTATATAAAATAAAGAGAATCCGAATTCATACATGGATGATGAGATGAGATTTATTAATTCATTCATAATGAAATGAAAAAAAACTACTAAATTATTACTACGTTTTTATGATCGTGACATTGTTATATAAAACAAGATTTTTTTAATTTACAACCAAATAACCGAGAAAAAATAATTGCTATATTTTTACCCCAAATATTAAACACAATATATAACGTCCTCATATATAAAACTCTTTTTCTCATTTTTTTTCAACAAGATCTAGAAAATCATTAAAACTAATGATTATAAGCCGAACACAATATTGTGTGTATGTGCAATTAGTAATTGGATTGCCTCATCAAAATGATGATGATGATGATGATGATTGTTGTTGCCCCGGCAAAACAAGGAAGAGAAAAAAAAATTGGTCCTCATAAAAAGGGTACAAAATCAAGGATCAAATATTCTAAGACTAGAGAATTTTTTCATCCAACAATATTCTTTGTTTTCGTCGTCATCATCATCATCATCATCATCATCATTGCTCGATACTATTAGTCATGAATTATTATTCTATAAAAATGAGAACGGATGATGATGAACGAAAGGCCTGAATGAACCAAACGAATGTATGATTAATGAATTTTTACCCATATTCTCTATGGATTGTTTTCGCATAGTGTATGACGGCAAGCAAATTTTGTAAAACAAAAATTGATATGATGAAATGAAATGTGTGTGTGTGTGTGTGTGTCCGGTGTCCGGCCAAATATGAAAAAACAAAATTTTCACGCATATTTAATAATTTAACTTTATTTTATATGATGATAAATGTATTTGTTTGTGTGTAGATGTTGATGACCATCAATGATATAAACAACAACAGAAATAATTTTTTTTTTTGCAAACTGAAATAAAATTCTGTTTGATATTTAATCCAATACCAATGATTTGAATGATTATGATGAAGAAATTTCATTATCTTTGTTTTGAATTGACAAAAAAAAAAAACGGTTGTTCAACAATTCATGAATTAAATGGACTGTAATATGATGCGAACAAAAAAAAAATTTCTACCATCATCATTATCATCATCTTTTCGATCGATCCATATGTTTTATCGACAACAACAACAACAACATCAAGATGTGAAGGTGAAATTATAGAAAATATAAACACACGTATAAACAATCGATTGAAAATCGATTGTTTTTTTGTTATTTTCTCTTTTCTTTTTCTTATTGATTATTTATTCCATAGATAGATAGATAGATAGATAGATATAAAGATGATGAGATAAGAAAAAGCAATCGAGCGTACATGTAATATTATTATTATTATTATTTATATATTAGAAAAAAAATTTCAAACAAAAAAAAAATTCTATCATCCATTTTGTATGTACAAATAATGACAATCATCATCATCATTGATGGTATTAGTCGTTGTTTCAACAAAATTTGTAAAGAAAAGATTCGGCATTTTATCTCCGTTCCATCATCTATGAGAGAGAGAGAGAGAGAGAAAAAAGATTTCAGCATCATCAAGTTGATGAAGATCATCATCATTAAAGTTTTCTTTATTTTCTATAGTGAGTTTTCGAATTCTATAAGGTGAATCCATTGGAATAACTCAAAAGTGTTGAAGAATAATCGAAGAAGACTGGAAAAAAAACGCGACTGGAATTTGATGATGAATCGGAATTCGATGACCTAGGACGGTTGTAAAAAAAGAAAATATGAAGAACTGAAGAATTGGTGAACCTAATAGCAAACCTAAAGAATAAAGAAGAGAAAGAAAAAACATGACCATAAGCGACAATAAGTGGGATAAAGATAAGGAAAAAAATTAGAAATGATTAATTTTTGCTTTCGTTCCAAAATATTTTTTTGCGTTGGTTTTGTATACTTACTTTTTTTCAGTTTCAAAAAAAATCATCATCATCACCATCAACGAACAAGGTTCTATGTACTCGAAAATTTTCTTTTCTTTTTTTCCATTCATTTGTTTTAACCGTGATTTAGGCTCATCAATAATAATATCTTCACATATACACACACACACAAACACAACGGATTCAAGCTTATTATGAAAGCAGAATTTCGAGTTTTCATTTTAACATTGCAATGTTTTTTACATCCCTCACCACCGTCATTTTCTTTTCATTTTTTTTCCTCTTTTTGTTGGTTTTTTTTTGCAAGATATGCAGCAACAGCAATGTGTGCATGTGTGTGTGTCTAACCATATATCAGCACAATCATAATTAATTCGGCGATTTAATTCTCATTTTTTATTGTTATTATTCATTCTCTTAATGTCGATTAGCTGGCTTTAGTCATTTTTGATTCTTGAGATTCTTTATTTTGACGTATACGATTAGTTTATATATGAAGATTCTGTTTTTTCTTAATTTTAAACATTATCGTTGTCGTCACTTTTTATTTCTTTGTAAAATTTGGGTTCGCTTCATTAGGTCGATCATCAGTAAACTATAAGTTCACTACTACTGTGTGATATGGAAGCGATAACGCCCCTTTTTTATTTTTCTCATTACATGTTCGATATTCTTTCCATTTATTCATCTTTCATTTTTGTTGTTACAATCTATGCATTATTGACAATTAATTGAATATGCTAATTTCCATACCATATGTAAATCATCACGCAGAAAAAAAGAGCCAGACGAAACATGAACACGATGAATGTTAATAGAATAGATTGGCTTACAGCCCAAATAAATATATTTTTTTTTTCATTGATAATGATGATGATGATGATGATGGTCCGTTGAACTATTAGGAGATCTTGTAATCAATATTGTATCATGATCTTGATTACCATATAGTAATGTTTGATTTGAATAATGTTTTTGTTGCTGTTGCTGATATTGATGATTATCAGGAAAAAATTCTGGCATTGATTCGAATGTTACATGAAATGGTGCACCGGTACGATGTTTACGATTTTTATTTGTAATCAATGATGAAGATGATGTTGATGATGATGTAATTGTTGTTTGTTGATGATTATTTGTCATTGATACATTATCAACATCAACATCATCATCATCATCGTAATCATTATCAGTCACATTATTATCTTCATGAGCCAATAATTGTTTTTGTTGATTATTGACGGCATTCGATGATGATGTCGTTGTCATTGTTGTTATTGTTGTTGTTGTTGTTGTTGCTGCTGCTGCTGCGACTGATGTTGATGATAATGAATATAATTCATTATTATTAAATTGATTTGAATTTGTCTGCAGTGGATGATTATGTTTATCACATACAATATTAGTCATATTTTCTGGATCAACATGCACTTGTATCATTGGTGATGATGATGATAATTGTGCAGATTCATGATGGTTACGTTGATTATGATTATGATAATGTTGATGTTGATTTTGATCAATGGCAATTTCATGATCAATAATACAAGTTTTTAATTGATGATAATGTGGTTCACAATTATTATAAACATCATTCATTGAAATTAAATTAAAACCAGTTGTTGATGTTGATACTGTTGTTGGATCAACAACTAGATCAATAGTCGTTGTTGTTGCCGATGTTGATACCGGTACAAATTCAGCTAATGATAAACCATAAACAGTAGCCGTTTCAATTGTCGTTGGATCCAATTGATATACATTATTTGATTGTTGTTGTTGCTGCTGCTGCTGTTGTGGATGATTATGGTGAATAATAATTTCTGATTCATCATTTTTTTCAAAATCACTATCATGATTATCATCATCATCATCGACATGACAATCATCATGATTAAATCGACGACGACGTCTTCTATGATTAGATGAATTTATCATTTTTAATTCTGATTGTATTGTTCGTATTTCATAAGCAAGTAAATATGAGATAACAATCTGTACAAGAACAAAGCCAAGCATACCAATCAGAATATATTCAATAGATGTTTCGACTTTTGGACTCAATGATGCTGTAAATATTTTTGATAATAAATTCTTTCCACCACCACCACCACCAACACCATCATTATTATGTTTATTAATTTTCTTTTGATCCATTTCATTTTTAATTGAATATTCTTTATTATTCAACATTTCAATATCACTATTGCTAGGTGATGGTCGTTTTATAATACTGGTAATATTGGTTATGGATGACAAATGTTTTGCCATGTTTTGTTGTTTATCATCATCATCATCAACATGAATAGATGATCCATCGTTGGTTGGTAACGATGATGATGGTGACATGAATTTTGGATCCGATAACAAGAGCATTGTTTGATTTGATAAATTATATCCACCACTATTATAAGATTGTGATTTTTGTTGTTGAAATTTAGATTTTCCTTTTACTAATGTTATTTCATTGTATGAAGGCAATACTGATTGTGTGGGAAATATTAAGGCATTCATTGGCAGTGATGTTGTTGATGATAATGATGGTGGAACGGGTATCTGATGTTTATTTTTATACTGAAAATTTTTTGTATTTTTCAATATTGAAGAATTCAAATGATTCAATGATGCTAATGAATCAGATGTAAATGAATTTGAATATATTGATGTAGGCATTGATGATGATGATGATAATTCGGATGATGAATGTGATGATGAAGATGATGATGATGAATTTGTTGACGATTGAATCGTTAAAATAGAAGATGATGATGTTGATGTCGATGTTGGTGATGATGATGCTGTTGACGAGGATGACGATGATGATGATGATGAAGATGTAGGATTCGTAGTGGTTATCGTTGGTCCCGTGTTTGGTGATAACGATGATAACCTCAATATAATTTCGACCAATAAAACGCTCACAGGAAATAAGATGAGTAAACATGCGTAAATGATCAATGCCTGTGTTGATTCAGCTATTGTACCAACAAATCCAACACTAAAGATGGCAACAATTATAACGCAAAGCTAGATTGGATAAAGATGGCCATGAATCGATAGATGGGAATTAAAGAAAAAGAATCGGAAAAAAATGAAATGAGCAAAACGATTTTATTTAAATCAAATTTTTGAAATCAAAATTTGAAAGATTTTTTTTTTTGTTTTAACTTAAAAGATCAAATCTATTCTCATTAGTTTGGCTAAATCAGTAACATTTGTAGTTTGTGGGTTGTACATCGACCTTGCATTTTACATTCTAGATTTTTCTTTTTTCTTTTCCATTTTCAATTCAAGAGAAATGAAAATATCGAAAAAAAAATTTCCAAACATAACAAATCTACCTCTATTTTAAAATTCATTCATTCATTGTATGGCATTGACAGACCAGGGTAATCGAATACGAATCGATTCAAAATAAGAAACAAAATTTTTTTTCTTCATTCTCTTTTTTTTTGCACAAAGTTTATTTGCTTAAGATTTAGATTGGATTTTTTTTTCTTAGTTAAACATTTGAAATGAAAAAAAGGGGAACTCACACTATGAAATAACAAACGAAAAAAAAAGATTTTACCACCATAAAACGAGAATCTGGTTTCACACACACACACACATGGATGTGGCATGTTTTTCTAATCGAAACAAATTGATCAACTGATGTACTTATTTCCATGTGTGTGTGTGTGTGTGCTTTGAACATGAGCTTGTTGTCAGGAATTTTTTTTCTGGTTGAAATTCTCATGAAAAAAAAAAAAATCTGTAATATGCCAACAAATCGAAAACTTTTATATCGAATCTGTGTACTTTGTGATATTATAAATGATGATGATTGCTTATTTTCATTTCAATCTTTTTTTTTTTTTCGATTCCAAATTTTTTTTTCTTGTCAGTATAATTCTATCTTTCATCATTGTGTATGTGTGTGTGTGTGTGTGTTGTAACCAACTTTAAAACTTGATAATTATATCATTATTACAAAATACATATACATGATCAAAAATAACATAAGAATTTTTACATTCTCTATTCACACATGATTCTATTGAACTATAGAATAAAAAAAAATTTACACAACTAAATAAAAAAGACCAAAGTTACAGTAATCGTAATCTTTGAATCAACCACCAATCAAAATGATGTAAAGATTGCCCACAGTTGACCGATAACGATAAATGTGTATAACATAAAAAAAGCAAGAATCATAAAAGAAATTCTAATTCTCATTTTCTATTAGTGATTTTTTTTTTTTCTCTGTTTTTCCATCCTTTTTTTGCCTGAAAATAAATCGAAAAATACGGGGGGTGGGAGAGTGTGCGTATGGCGTATTGTTATCGGTGTTTGTTGTGGTGGTGGTGGTGTAAATGACACATTTTGATTTAGAGCTCAAAACCGATAACCACATAAAAACACAGACATTTACAGACAAAACCAAAAAACAACAACCATATAACTATGCTATCAATCCAAAGATAGAGAGAATAACCTAATTACAACTATACACGATGATGATGATGATGATGATGATAAAGATATCACATACTATGAATGATCGAACTAATTGCTATTAATGGGCCCAATTTGGAACTATCCAATTTTTTTTCTCCCCGTTGGATTCTCTCTCTCTCTCTTTTTTTATCTGTAACAAAATAAAACACGAGAGAGAGAGAGTGAGAATGAAAAATGCTAAACAAACTTTCAAATATAATGTCCATCATTATCATCAGACATTGTATAATCAAAGAATCAGATGCCGTTGGAAGCAACAATAAATTGGTATTTTGTAGCACACACACACACACACACACACACAAACGATTCTATATGTCTTATAAGAATCGGACAGATTATTTATTTGGTCATTGTTTTTGATGTTGTTTACTGGTTTATACATTTTTTTTCATGGATTTGTTTTATTTTATTTGCTGATTGGATATATACTAATGAATCGACTACTACAGTGATTATGCTATTAATTAAATAATGGAAATAAAAGCAATAGAGAGAGAGAGAAAGAGAGAACTCCAATTAAACTAATGATAAACATGTATTAGGGTAAAATAAACCAGTTAAAAAAAATCACCAAACATCATCCAATTAGATTGATCATAGATTATGGCGCAAAAAAAAGAAAAACTTTTTTTTTATTTTTGGTGATCATAGTTCACACAATGATGAAAAGTTGAATGAAATATAGTCTCTATTCCCAAACATCGATTGTATCGATTTTTCTTAATCCAATTGAATCGAATGATTTAAAACCAAATTGATGATGACAAATCATATATGGTGTTCAAATCATTGGTTTTCGATTGATGAAACAAAAAAAAAATTATTTCCAATAAAATGATTATTAAAAACAAAGTTTTAAAAATCATTCATTATTCATCATCATGGTCAACGTTAATTTTGTTTTCACCATCAACATATACTGAACAACACAGCTTTAGCATTTACTAGATTGCCATTAAAAAAAAAATAATTTCATGTAAATGATCATTATCATTGTCATCATCATGAACAAAAAAAAAAACTATTTTATAATAGTTTTTAGTTCCAAATAGAATTTCATGTGTTCAACAACGAAAAAACCTTATTTGCAAGTTTTTTTGTCCACCATATGTGTGTGTATGGATATGTCATGTTAATAAATTACCATGACACACACACATCATTTGTTTGTGTAATACATTGTCGAAAAAAAACCGCAGCATATACCACAGGGGAAAACCGATCATCAGTAAAAAAAACAGAGTATTTGGTCTGAATATTTTTTGGTATAGCAGCAGCATCATCATCAGTATCGTCTTGAAGTTGTTGTTGTTGTTGTTATCCCTATTGTATTGTATTGTGTGTGTGTCTATGTCTATTGGACATTGACTTTAGGCTTACATTTTCATTACATTTTTTTCAACACTTGCAAACACAGACTACTATAGTCGACGTGCTTTGAATATATCATATTGATGTTACACACACACACATACACATTCATGCAAGTATTGTGACTGTAAATGTTGTTGACCACCAAAGATTCTGTCCCGAGAGTACGGTTATTGTCGTTGTTGTTTGGCCCAAATTTTTTTTTATTTCTTTCTATTGACTTCCACGTTAAGCATATATTTTATATCATCAACGTTAAAAAAAACGATTCAAATCCTGATGATGATAGTGATGGTGATGGTGATGATGATCAGTGATCACCATTAATTTCATTTGTCATCATATAGCTTTTATATAATACACACATAATGATCGGTGGATAGTGTGAAAAAAAATATTCTTGAAATATTTAATAGATAATAATGTTTCAGTGGATGGATCATCATCATCATCATCATCATCATGAAATTATAGAATTTGATGAGTTTTTTCCCGTCTTCCAAGAGAGCCAAAAAAAAAAGTAATTGCAAATTCATTATTCATATTCATACTATGAGGAATGAATTTTAAAAGTCTCAGAACTTTCAATTTGCCTAAACAATTTTCGTGTGTATGTCAAAATAAAACTAATGATTTGAACGGATAAATTCATCATCATCAGAATCATGCCTAATTGAATTCGTGTATTTAAACTTTTTTTTGCAAAAAAAAAAATTTTTCCCAAAGAAAAAACTTTGAAATAGAATGTTGAAGAAAAAAAATTCATTAAATTCTTTCATGGAATAACTCTTTCTTTTCACATTTCATTTCACAACAGAGGAAACAAAACAAAAGTTGTAAAAAATAGAAAAATTCAGTTCCGGAAAATTCAATGCAAAAAAAAACTTTTTTCTCCCTTCAGTAGTAGTATTAGTAGTTCATAGTTTCAGCATATTGAATGTAGAAAATAATTATAATTCTTATTACATGATTCGATGTCAAATTATAGTTGGTTTTTAAGGCCATTTTCTTTATACGCCAATGTCTCTTTTTTTTCTTCTTCTTCTCGTCTGATTAGAATTGGAAAAAAAATAAAAATCAATTTTTGATCGATTTGATTTGGTCATTTATTTTGCCAAACACACACACACACACACGAACGACAAGATCAAAATGATGATAATTTTTTTTTTGAAAATACAAAACATTTGGAATTAAATGCTGATCCAAGCTGATCATGAATTGTATATATGTTTGTATAATAACCAATAAACTTTCGATTTCTGATCATACAATTTATCAATATATAAATATATTGGATATTGATTAGAGAGAAAAAAAATAAAACAAAAAAAACCAAAACCATCGTCAATGGTAATAATGACAATTCACTGAAAAAAAATAAAATACAAAAAATTTAATTAGAAGGGCTGACATGACCATTCTGGTCGTTATCATTGGCAAGATTCAATTATTGATTTTTTTTGTCGTCATTATTTACGTCAAGTGGAGGCAGGAGAGAGAGAGAGAGAGTGAGAAACAAAAGATCAGAAAGAAGAAAAGAAATTAATTGTACCATATCTGGTCGCTATCATTGGCAAGATTCAATTATTGATTTTTTTTGTCGTCATTATTTACGTCAAGTGGATACAGGAAGAGAGAGAGTGAGAGTGAGAGACAAAAGATCAGAAAAAGAAGAAATTAATTGTAAACGAATCATCAAAACTGAATTGGGTGCACATTGGGATGGATGGCTGTGAATGGAAACATGAACCCGGCGGCGGCTGCAGCTTCGTTAAGTACATATGAATCAATGAAAATGGTAGGAAAAAAAATTGGTTTCTAATAACATTTGCATTGTGAAACAATGGCTAATGGGCACCAAATCACCCACAACAACCACCACCATCATCATCATCATCATCATAATAATTATTTCATCAAAAAACTCAAACATGAATGTCATTATATAATTATTTGATTCAGATATGGTTTGGTTGTTGTGGTGGTGACGATGACCAGAAATCAAATATTAATTATGATGATACATGTGTGTCTACATGTGGACATAACAAATCAATTCGTCTATTTTTCAATGTTCTCATCATCTGGTTTTTGGATGCTTTATTATGGTGATAAGATGTTTTATTCTATATAAAACACAAAACCGA